CAGCAAACTTTCCTGTGAAGGTGCAGGTAGTAAATGCTTTGCTCTGCAGGCCACACAGTCTCTGTTGCAAGGAGTCGACTCTGCTGCTGTAGAGCAAAGGGCATAGCTCTGTTCCAGTAAACTTTCCTTGTGGGCACTGGAGTTTGAATTTCATATACTCTTCATGTGTCATGAAATAGTATTCTTTTTTTAAATATATTTTCCTGATCATTTAAGAAGGTAAAAACCATTGTTAGCTCGTGAGCTATATACAAATAAGTGGTGGGAGCCCTGGCCTGGTGGCTCAGTTGGTTGGAGCGTCGTCCTGTACACCAAAAGGTTGCAGGTTCGATCCCCAGTCAGGGCACATGCTTAGGTGGTGGGTTCAATCCCTGGTTGGAGCATGTACGGGAGACAACTGATTGATGTTTCTCTTTCTCTCTCTCTCTCTCTCAGTTAATAAGCACATCCTCAGGTGAAGACTTAAAAACAAACAAACAAAAAGAGGCAGGATGTACTTAGCCCACAGGTCATGTAGTTTGCCAATCCCTAACCTAAGTGTTTGTACCTCATTCAGCCAAACTTAGTCGAAGCCTTTTTTCAATCGTGGGCTTCCCGGCTAATCCAGGTGCTTCGTCCTATCCTCCAGAGATGACAACAGCTTTAAGCTCCCCCAGAGTGGCCGTGCACTTTCAGCTTCACTTCTGTTCTGAAGTGGCTCAACTGGAAGGTGCTGGAAAGAAACCTCCTTCCTAACCACCAGGTTTCCTACGCAAAGGCATTCTCTTTCAACTATAAACTGGTTCCCCAAGCCCAGTACATTTCCATCTTTTCTCGTCCAGCTACGTGCATCTGGGCCTTGCCAAAGCATCCCAGCCTCCACTGCGGCGCTGGGCCTCATCACTCCTTTTTTGTTCAATTCTCAGCCCCAGTGCTGCCAGGGTTCCAGAGCCAATGTCCTTTTTATAAAGGGAGACATACGCAAGGAAAGCGAGGAAGAGTTCAGCCAGAGGTAAATTCCTGGAGAAGAGGGATTTTATGTTGGGCTCGGGAGAGGGACAGGGATTGAAGGAGGGAGGAGGTTATACTAACCATGCTTGGTGCCAGATAGGTGCTAGACTTACCAGGGTGATCACTTTGTAAGGTACATAAATGTCTAATCACTATTTTGTATACTTGAAACTAATACAATATGGTGTGTCAACTATAACTGAGCAATAATATTTTTTTTAAGAAGGGGGGCAAGGAGGTGAGTGGTGCTCCAGACAGAAGCGAGAGCGAGCTGTGGGCAGGGGACAGAGAGGGGACAGCCACATACAGAGGCCATATGAAGAGAGAGGGCGATAAGCCTGGGGTCAGAGCGGGACATTAGTGGAGGGCTGGCCTGCTAGGCCCCGAGGACCCCGATTCAGAACAGCTTGAGGTAGCTTAGCGTGATGGTGTGGCAGAACACAAGGACCTTAACTTACAGCCCTCATTCCTAACCTCAGTCCCTCACTCTCCATTCCGTTCTCTATTCATTCGATAACCACTCCGTATTTCCCAGCAAGAGCCAGGCATGTTTGGCTGGTTAAGGGCAAGAGGAGGAAAGGGGAGTGAATGTTGAATCATCAAAGTGCCTTGCACTCCAGAAATGTAGAGCAGGAGAAGGAATCTCATCAAGAGGGTGCTAAATGCCTCACAGGAATGTGGACAAGGAGTTCGGGCAAGTGAGAGGGAATGCACAGGGGAGCAGGGGACACCAGAGGAAGTTTTGTAGAAGAGAGTTCGAGCTAGGACTCGAAGGAAAGGGGACGTCTGACTCTGTGAAACATGGGTGAAGGGCTGACCAGGAGGAAGTAACCCTGCGCAAAGGGGGAGCAGTGAAATTATGGGGGGGATGCAGACCGGAGCTCATCTTGGTGCATGTGTTCAGTGGGAATGTTACTGGCACCACTTTGGGCGTAGTTTTTCATTGTATGAGTCTGTGACGTACCAAGGTCTTGTAGCATCCCCGCCACCTAATGCCTCTCACCTAATGCCAGTAGCCTCAGCCCCTTTCCACCTGCACTGTCAAACAACACTCCCCACTCCGAGGGAACCATTACACAGGTTTGCGAAGGCAAGCACTAAGATGTCACGTTGGACCAGAAAATTAGCAGCCAGACCACAGAGCGCCTCAAGTGCCAGGACAAGACATTTGCTTTTCATTAAGCGAGCAGAGTATCCACTGAAGATGGCTCAGGAGGGAGGGGACATGACCTGCTTTAAAAAACAAAGTGCGGAGCAGGATGAACGGAAGGCCAGGAAAGGTGGAGAAATCAGCTCCAGGCTCCTGCAACCGCCCACCCAGGTTATTTTCAGTCGGGGTGGGCGGCTGTACCCACGATGACTGGTGGACGGCAGAGGTCAAGGGAGGGCCCGTCTGCATATTCCTGCTGATGGCTGGAATGTCCTATTACAGTTTGCTAAATCAGGATTTGACTAGTATTACTGTCTTTCGGATCAACCCACCTGTTGGGACCACAATACAACTTCCCCCTCATTGGTCCACACAGGCAGAATTTGCACACAACTAGAAGGCGGGAGAAGGGCAACTCTTTGAGGGCTCTCTCCCTGCTCCCTGCCCAGGGTCCACTGCCTCCTTAGCGAGCACCCCCTTGATGCCTGAACAAGGGAACCATTCAGGCCGACCAGAGAGGGGAAGACACTCCCTGCTCTGCCCCGTCACTGGCCAGGACAGGACACGGCTTTTGATCCACAGCCCAGAGAATCCCAAGCTCATAAAGAAAGGCCCATTGTGACAGCCTCTGGAGAAGCCCAGAAGCCGGAGGGAACTCTGGGGCTAAGCAGCCGGTTAACGTGCACATTTGTGAAAGGAATTACAACTTGGCGGAAGTCTAGGCAGAATGAGTCCCCGGGGCTGCCACTGGCACAAGCCATGGCAGGGAGACTAACAGCAAAACCAGCAGGAGCCTGGCCTCACTGAGAAAAGGCTGACCTGAGGCAGAAGGAACCCAGAAGCCTCGGAGGGCTCCCCTGCAGACACCTGGCGCATGAAACCCAATCTCCCAGTCAAATGCAAGAAACACAACTGCTCTTTTGATACGGTCCCGGGGAAGAGAGGAGCCGCCTGCCACCGCCCTGCCTCCACCCCCGCCCCCGCCAAGGTTGTCCAAAGCCGTAAACGGCAGGAAAGGAGGATGGCTGCAGAGTGGTAGCTGGCCTGGAAGCTACTCAGGAACTATGCTTTTTCTGCTCCGGTCTTAAATGTGTTTTGAGTCCAGTCACTTGCAGGCCTTGCTATTCTTATGGCAAAAACACAAGATCCTGAGATAATGCCAGGGTACACGGTAGGGAGAGGGGCTAGACGGGAGGCTGGTGGGAGTATCCCGAAGAATGAAGCTTTGGTGGGAGGTCTGAGGTTCAGCCGAGGGTCAGCGCACACTCAGGGGTGGTGGTGGGGTATGGGAAGGGCTTCAACCCCTGCAGAGGCCCTGGGAGGAGCGCGGGGTGCAGGGGTGGGAGAACTCAGTCCCCAGACCCACCCCCAATTTCTGCGCTGTCCCTGCCTTTCTCAGCTGTCAGCTGGCCCTATCACTTGGGACAGGAAATGCAAAATTGAGGTCAGAGGATCCCTCGCCTCGGCCAGGTGCAGGGCCCAGGGATTAAACCGAGAGCAGAGGTTGGAGCAACGTGAGCACTGCCTGCACGTCGTCGTCATTTCCACTGTCCCTGGAAGGCCCTGGGGTGGGTGATGGGCTCGGCTCATTCTCAGCCATGGTTCTGCTTTCCCTCCCCACCACCCCAAATGCATACGCTTGACCCTCTCAAATGTCGTCACTTTTACATCAAAGCAGAATAAGCAACGTAAACCCATAGCAGAACCATCCAATGAATATAAAAATCAAACTAGAGCACACGAGGGCTGTCCCACACATGTACATCAGGCACTTCCCTCCTGTCCGTGTCGCTGACAGCTGGGGAGCAGGCCTACGACCCCTAGTAGTGGCACGAAGGCCACAGAGGAGACTTAGCGACTCCGCTCGCCGGCACCTATGAAGAGCCCAGCCCATGACAAACCTCACCTACCACCGCTGAGATTCACTCCTCACTGGGGGCGGGTCTGGAACACAGCAGTGTTTTCTGAAACTCAAGCATTTTCTGCCTTGCTGGAGATTTGGTCCCAGCTGGTGAGACAAACATGTGCACACAGAAACTGCTAGAACACTCTGTTCAGATCCCATGGCTCCCACAAACAAAAAAAAGCCAGCCCAGAAGACTGAGCTGGAAGGCCTGGGTGTCATTTATTGTCGGCAGTTTACACACATTTTTCTTCCCAGGGTCGTTTCCTTCAAAGCACAGGCACAGAGCCCTCCAGAAGGGCAGTCTCAGAACGAGCGCGCCAGGAACGCAGGATGCACGTCCTCGGCAGGCGTGTTTGGCCCCGACAGGATGCAATCCTTCAAGATGGAATTCCACTGGGTATTTGAGAGACACCAAGGTGGGGGGTGGACAGGAAGTCTTCCACAGGACTCACATCTCAGTCCAGGCCTGCTCCCTCACTATCCAAGTCCATCCCAGTTTTAGGACCCCTGGGGGGCAGCAAAGGGAGCCCACCCACTTTCACAGGGCGGGTTCTTCAAGCTATGCCGTTTGTACACACCTGCTTCCGCTGGCCCCCCCAGTTAGAGAACCCGCCTCACGGTAAGAGACAGGCCGCTTCCTCTCTGCCCCTCCCAGCCCCTCTCTTCAGCTGGCTCTGTGCAGAACTGCTGGGAAAAAAAGGTGCCTGTGTTCTCGGTTGAGCTGTGTGCCATCGTCTTCAAATCTTGAATAACTGCAGGGTTGGAGGCTGCAAGTTCACTCAGGCCGACAACTGCGCTCCCCAGCCGACCACACACACGGCTCTGCCTTCCTTCTGCCAACTACCAGTGCCGAGGCCCCAAAGACGAGGGTCAAGCTCGTCTGCGTAGGCACTTGGCAGTTCTTGGTAGGGAGGTGGGTAAAAAAAGTGGACGGAAATGAGAAGAACGAAAGCGTTTCATCTGATAAGAGTAATCAGTGATCTGAAGTGATTTTGCTTTTATTTCCTTCACTTGAAGCCAATCATGAAATGTCACAGTGATTCTGGGGGGGAGGCAGAAGGAAGGCGACGTTAAGAATCCTCGCGGCCGTGGCCCACGCGGCCCGAGGAGGTGCAGGCGGCGCGGGCCTCACTGGGGCAGCTGGAGGAGCACTGACTGCCCGGCCGGCAGGTACGTGATGTTCCGGGAGCGGGAAAGCTGGTACGCGATGTCCTCTGCGGCTTCCAGCTTGCGCAGCTCGATCAGGCCGTCGCCTGCAGTGGCGAGCGAGTTGGCGATCAGCTCGGCCGCCTTGGAGTCGCCCTCAGCAGAGATGATGGCCGCCTTCTTCTGCTGCTCAGCCTAAGAGAGCGAGGCGGGGAGAGACCAAGATCACACTTCAGAGCATGGCGGGGAGGGGGGGGTGGGGGCGGCAGGCTACAGCCTCAAAGGCACGTTAGGCACTTTCACTGGTTCCGGAAGGAACTCTGGGAATTTGCCTCTTCCTCTGGATGGGGTCAACAAGCACTGCCCATCCACCCACTCCTCTCCTGAACCACCCACTCCTCGTCACAGCAGGGATACATTCTGTCAGCTGCATAAAGAGCTGTCATATTTCAGTCTTCATTACTATGAATAGCAATCTAGTCTGGCTACCCTACTCCAAGCCAGGAGCATCCCAGGCCAAGAAAAACCAGAAAGGTGGAATCAATCCTCAGACTCATCTTTTCCCCCAGTCCCAAGTCAAATGGCTTTCACCAAAACCAGTGTAGCTAAGCAGGAGCAGCAGGCATGTGTGACACTCCCGAGAGCTGCCTGCGAGCGACAGTGGTCACTGGCCAGGAGCCTGGGCACCCAGTACGAGATCTTCTAGGCTTTGCGTACTCAAAGCTATAGGACAACATCTAGTGCAATGCATGACCTTCACAAGTGTGGGAGGACAGCGACAGGCCAATGAAATTCACACAACTTTGAAGCTGCCAGGCTCTGTGACTGTTCACTCAACCAATGTTTACCGAGCACCTAGTATCCCCAGGCACAGTCTCGGGCGTGTCGCAGGCCCAGAGGTAGGCAGTTTACATAAAGAAAAGAAAGGTCCTGCTTGTAGAGTTTACATTCTCTAAAATTCAATGCTGACCAGCCATATCCCTTGTTTCCATGACTTTAAGGACTAAAGGGTCTTGGATTAGAAGGCTAACTCAGGAGAAGTAGTGGTGGGAAGAAGGGGCTAGCAAGAAATAGATACACCTTCACAGAGACCAGGAAGGCCAGGCTGTTAGGCAAATATATTGTGTCCCATCACACTCTGACACATCTGGATGGATTTAGTGTTTGAAAAAATCCAGTGACGATAGCGCATCTGGCGCAACGTCTGATCCTTTGTGCTGTCAGCTTTCACTGTGTAACTGTGGTTAAAAATGACTTTTTAGTGAAGCTGAAAATATTACAGGAGAAACATTTTTATTTGTAGGAGTGTTTTTGATCTTAGGGAAGTGGGGAAAAAAATGACCCTTCTGTGATTTAGGAACATAACTTCATATATCCCTGACTAGCCCTCAAAGACTCTGGAACCAATTGCAGGAGTAAAGTCCCTTCAACTCCCTTCCAATGATCCCGGAAGGAGAGATGACAGATGATGAATTTCCAGGCCACCCAGCAAATGGGGAGGCTGAGCACAGGAGAAAAGGAAGAGAGGCTCTTGCCATCTGGTTGAACGCTCACCTTTTCCACCACAAATCTGGCCCTCTCCGCTTCCTGCTGGGCCACCTGTTTGGCTTCTACCGCTTCTGTGAACTCCTTCCCGAAGGTCAGATGAGTCTAAAGGGAGAGAGTGAGCACAAGATGAGGCAGTGTAATTGCTTCGACAGCATGGCTGCAAGGCCCCCACGGCCGCGGGGAGGAAGAGGCCAGGAATGGCTCTAGCAGCTGGAGGAACTGTGAGGCCAGATCACTCTTCCACCTCCGTATCTGTGTCCAACCTGAGTTTACACCCAGAATCCTCGGCTGCCCAAATTGTTCCTGTACCACATTCTGTCACCCTCAGTGAGACGATCTCAGGTCGAAAACAGCCTACAGGCACTGATGGTATCTACCTAAGTGACCGCCTCCCTTGGGGAGGAGACCTGCGGGTTCCAGGACCCCCACCGTGACTAGGTCTCTCCAAGGTCCTTTGATGGCCTGTTTGAAGCCTCAGGGAAGCCAGATAGAAAGTGAGCCCCTGAGAGGGAGGGATGCAGCTGGTTCTCAGGGATGCGAGAGCCCAATGCTCTGTGCTCACGGATGAACCAGTCCACGCCTTTCTCACAGGACCTCCACCACCAAATGGGAAGAGGACAGGAGAATGTGGAACGCAAATCACAGCATTCCCTGTGTGAGTGCTTCTGGGAAAGGGTTTAGACGAAAGAGAAGGCAGGTAAAGCTATTGTTCAGGCAGAGGGTTTTAAATCCTGATTATCCAGGCCTTCCCTAATAACATAAATTACTGAGACTTGGCTGAAGTGACTGTCTCTAATGACCATGCAGACAATGGGAACAGATTTCAGAATGTGTAATGCCAAGTCTAGAATAATTTACTTACTTACCCAACTTTTCATTAAAAAGGGAAAAGTAACATTGGTTTTGCTATCAGATTCTATTTCCTCCTCCACTCTGAAAAATTCTGCTTTTTAAAGAAAAACATAAGCAGCTCAAAATTTCTCCTGAAAAGTAAACCCTAGTCCCACAGCCTCCCAGAATTTTTAACACCCCTGACTCTGAAACTGCAGCTGTTCTACTTTGCCTGCTCCATTTCTGGACTTGGACTCTTGTTCAAAGTGTGGGGAAAGAAAATACAATCCTGAGAGATGAAAAATGAAATGTGCAATTAAGGAATAAAATTTCTCTCTAAAAGGGCCAGCTGAGGGCAGCAAATTCCCCATGAAATCTAATTTTCTTCTCACACCTCTTAGATAGGGTTTCTTGTGGTCAGCCCACATTTCCCCAGAATGGAATATGTGGTTAAAGTCTAGCAAAATGCCAAGCTTTTCCTCAGGTTTTTACTGCGCGTTTTGTCGCAGCCAAGGTGTTCAGGGTGAACAGTAAGCGGGAGAGCCCGAGGAATCCGTGGGCAGAGGTGGCAAATGGCTGCAGCCGGGAATCTCGCCAGCAGAGGGAGCCCACAAGCCCTTCCACTGCCGGCAACTGGTGCCCGGGGAGAGCGCCTGGGGAGCGCGCCCTGAGGCCAGCGCCGGCTGTTGCGGAGTGTGACCGCTGAAACAGCTGCAGAGATGCCTAGGGGAAATGGTGCCTCTCCCCAGCGAGGCACAGGAGACCTCGACAGGGAACACTCTACCTCACAGCCCGAACAAATCCTTCCAAGTGATTTTTCCCACAGAATCTAGAAACATGACCCTTCCCCTCACCTCGTCGGCCTGAAATGCTATCCTGCCTCTACTGCTTTCTGTCTGAGTTATGGCACTCCACGTTGTAGAAGCACACAGATATGCGGTGTCAAGAGGACAGCTCAGGTCTCTGTGACGTCCCGTGCCCCCCATACCAGGCTTGGGGAGCAGAACCAGTCATCTGCAGTCTATCACCTTTCACTGGGGGCCCCCAGAGCGCACTTCGCTAAGCTTCAGACCGTAAGTGTTAGGAGATTCCCACAGGTCGGGCTGGGAGGTCTGCGCTAGGGAGAAAGGCTACCCGAGCGGTTCTCTGGTCTCAGCTTCCTGTGTCAAACAGGGTTAACAAGCCATCACTTCCTGGGGAGCTATCGAGTAAAGTCACGGTCACAGTTTTGAGATGGTGAAAAAGCTCAGGTTGGGTAGGGCCAGAAGTCAAAAGAAAAATGGGCGACAGTGCTGAGATTAAAGACTGAAAACAAACCCAAGGAGATGGCCTCGTACTGTCAAGAAGTTTCCATGCTTTCAAGTCTCACATCTAGGAAAGCAGAAGGCAGGACCTAACAGTGTCCACCCGGAAATGGAGCTGGGCACCTCAGCAAGCACCGGCCCCTCCCTGCAGGTCCCCCCAAGGATCTTACCAAGGACACGTCATCCAGGATGAGCCCAAAGGTTGCAGCTCGCTCTGTAAGGTCGTCGCTCACCTGTCTGGAGACCAGCTCTCTCTGGGTGATGAGTTCTCCAGCGTCAAAGCGAGCCTGGTTCCCAGGGAGGGCAGAGGAGCCAGTCAGGATAATGAGGAAGCAGAGAGGGAACCAGGAAGCTACCAGCCACATCCCAACCCACCCACTGCCAAGCTCTTCCTGCCACCCACTGATCTCCTGGTGGCCCCACTGCTAGCGCGAGGCTGAGGCCCTGACCACTCACCACCACTGACTTGAGGATCTCTGTAGTGATGGACGGCAGCACGCGCTCGTCGTAGTCCTCCCCAATGCTGGTGAAGATGCGGGGAAGCTGGCTAGCAACTGGACGGAAGAGGATCCGCAGGGTGATGTTGACATTCTGCAAATCTTTGGGGAGGGGACAAATGCTGGAGTTAAAAATAAAAAGCACTGCAGCCTTCTATATGACCTCCTACCCGAAGTTTGTTACAATTTATAAGTAAAGTTGTTAATTATAAGATCCTACAGGACAAGGAGCAAGGATGCATGGTTTCCTTGGTAGAGAATCCAGCAAAGCACCTGTTAAGAACTTCTTAAAGGTTTTGGTTTCAGTATGTCCCCTTGATATAGGCAATTCATATATGTCTAAGAGGTGCTATGAGATGACTGGAACTCTGAATGTACTAAGAAAACAGGGCAATGCCAAAAATTTTGGGGTGAGGCCTTTCTGAGGCCCACTCCAGGGGCGTGCTTTGGAGAGGTTACTCTGGGTTCAGCAGAAATAGTCCACTTTGGACTAAACCGACAGTCCAAAGGCCTGGGCTGCAGTACCACTGGGCTGTTTACTAATTATCTGACTTCACTAAGCTTTAGCCAATCTCAACTTAGTTCTGTAAGAACGGGGATGATTTCACCTGCTTCCCAGGCATGTTCGGGGAAACTGACAGAGAAAAGCACTGTAAGATGCAACAGATGTTAAGAGGCCATCAGAATCGTCCACAGCCCACTTCTTGTTGCTTGGCCCAGTCAAAGGGCCCAGGAAGGGAAACACGGCGTTCTCTGATTCAGGCCTGCTTGGAGGTAAAGCGCTGTCATAGCTGGTTTGCAGTCATTAAGAATATGGAACAAGCCCTGGCCAGTGTGGCTCAGTTAGTTGGAGCATGGTCCCCTAAACCAAAAGGTTGCGAGTTTGATCCCCAGTCAGGGCACATATCTAGGTTGTGGGTTCAATCCCTGGTTGAAGTGTGTATAGGAGGCAACCAATCAATGTTTCTCCTCCCTTCCTCTCTTTCTAAAAGCAATGAAAAAATGTCCTCAGGTGAGGATAAAAATAATTAACTAAAAAAACAACAACACTCCAATCCCCCCCGCCCCCCCCAAGCACCCATGAGATGGGAGTCTTGAACCTAGAGCCATCAGAAGTGGGAGGTGTACACTCACAAGCCCCTGATCTCTGGAAGTCCCTATCAAGTTCCGAAGACAGGTACATAATGTACCCCGAGAAGAACTACAAGACAGTAAAGGAGAAAAATCCCAAAGAGGTAGGAAGTTGAGAACTAGGCTTTTAAGTTAGTTTGAGGTTTCTCGATGAACCCCATCCCACCTCTGATTTCCTCCTTTCTAGTAGGCAAGTCAGGCCCTTCCCAGGGCGCCCCTCCCTCCCTCTCTCCCTCCCTCCCTCTGGAGAGGAGCTACAGGACCGATCACGCCATTCCAATTTACCCTTCCCCATCCTCTGCCCGAAAACACTGCTCCCTCCAAAGTCCCAGCTCAGACTAGTCCCCCACAGGAGCCTGCCCGGGCGCCCGTGGGAGCCAGCTGCCCTCCCCTCTGCTCCCCCAACACGCCATGCAGCCTCGGCCCCAGGGCTCACCACATGACATCACCCCCGTCCGCCCGCATCTCGGCCTCCCCAGCTAGACAGAGCTCCTCAAGGCCCCGGCCTCAGTCACCTCTGAACCGCCCCATCCTCCCGCCCAGCACGAAGCCTGGCACAGCCACAGTAAGCGAACTTCTGCTGAGGGACAGCACTGCAGGCACTGAGCGTTACTGAGTCGATAAACCTGCATCCGTGTGCCCCTCTCCTCTTGCTGTGTGGAAATGTCACTGCTGAGCCGGCATCTGCTGTTCCACTTACTGCCTGTGCACCTCTATGCACAGGAGGGGGAACAGTGACAGCAATTCATTTTAGGCTCTGTCTGGAAATCCAGCGGTGTGTTGGACACCGGGAGACAGCTCTCAGGGATGTGAACCTCAGACTGAGGTAGCAATGTGCGGCCAGCACTGCTGGGAACAGAGGCCTTGGGAAGTAAGCTGCGACAAAGGCAAACGGAACGGCCAGAGGTCAGTTTATACACTCTGGGGAACAAGAGCCAACGGGAAGGGCCAACTGAGGGCAAAAACGCACTCGTAGATGTTTTGAAAATTGGATCACTATGTAACTCTTGAAATGGATCTTTGTGTATATCTTTAAATTTGTACAGCTTGTCTGTGTATTTTAAGTATACAGGGTCCAGCAGAAGTAATACGGGCTCGAGTGTGGTTGGTAGGGTAGTAACCTGGGTTTTTTACCCATATTTTTAATATGGGTAAAATAAAATAAAAAAAATTTATACTTTTATTTTGAACATTTCACCTAAAATGTCATGGGGCATGCTTGAGTGTGATATGGTTATGTTACAGAATCGCATGCTTATGATTTTCTAATAAAAGATTCTGTAATAAAAAGGGACATCACTTCTGCTGGACCCTGTATATTTCTTTATATGAAGCCCCACACAACTCTCTAGGGAAAATACGCGAGGAATTCTTACATGAAGTTCAACCGCTTCTGAATCCCACGGCACCCCTTCCATCCTCTCTCCTTAACCTACTGGCAAGACTCACCTTTGCTACCAGTGATCACTGGCACGTTACGTGGTCGAGAGCGGCAGTCAAAGATAATTGGTTTCTGTACCCAAGGGATGAGAAAGTGTGTCCCTTCCCCTACCACGATGTCCTGTACTCCACGGAACCGGTCAAAGATGACAGCTCTGTGCCCAGCATCCACTGGGAAGGAAGGATAATGATGGGTCAGAAAAATCTCCTCACCCATGAACCAAAAGAATCATGCCCTTGAAAGATCCTTGGAGCTTTCTGTTCATTTATTAAGTCTCCCCTCTCTTGCTCTGTCTTCCTGTGCTTCTGGTCTCCAGAGGCATCTAAATAGCTACAAAACTAAGCAATCACTTCCTGTCCCATGTGTCTTCCCAAAGACTTCATTAATAGGATCTATTCCTCAGCATCCTTTCTCCTTGAAATAATTGGCTGCTGATTTTCTGATTAACCACCCCATCCCCGAACTCCCATTAACACATTTCCAGAAATCACCTCCCAAAACTTCTACAACTCCCCAAGGTTTTCGCTGCTACCTCAGTCCAACCTGGTTCCAATTTAACCTGCCATTCCCACAAGCGGTACCCCACTACGAGAAGCCTATAGTTTGGAAGGCCCCACTCTTTCCTGCCGATAGCTTGTCCTCTCCAAGGTCTTGAGGGGCTGCAGACCTGTCTTACTGGTTCAGAGAGAAACGGGTGATGGCCATTACTGTCTAGTTATGCAAGGGTGGCCCAAAAGGTCAGCGTATAAAGCTGTGCCATGTAAGCCAAGCAGGCTTTTCTGATCAGCTGCTTTATGACCAGTTGGTCCAAGTATCTTCGCTCTTGGAAAAGGTCTTAAGGGATAAGCTAGTTGAATTCCACTGCTTGACCAGTGAGGAAGCTGTGACTTGCCTCAGGTCTCACAGCAAAGCAGGAAAACAGCCAGCTTCCACCCCTGCCAAACTGTTAAAAGCTGGGCAGTGCATCTCAAAGGTATCTTCTCTGCAACAGAGCAAAAGCCCCTGCTCAGGACAAGGTCGCCACAGGTCTAAAGCCCTTCCTGAGTTATTCTACATGAACAGAACAAATGAGATCTCCATCTCAACTAGCCAGTGAAACCCTGACAGTCTGCTGCAGCATTTGGATGGTGCAGCATTACTTCACATGAACTAGAGCAGCTGGAAACGTCCAACCAGCACCAGGTCGCGAGGCTGCTTGTGAATAGGGGCTTTGCGAGAACAAACGGCGACCAAGGACAGGGGCTACGATGACAATGCAACCATATGGTGTGGGACAGCAGCAGGTGAGCCCTCTTGGTCACAAACACATTCACAGACAGCAGCGCTACCGTCAGGAGCGTCCCACGGGCTGTGCATACCAACAAAAATCCTCCAGCAAAGAAGCCTCACCATTATACAAGGCGGAGTTCACCACGCCTCCCGCGACGGCTAAGGCCAGGCCGAACTTGCCAATGGACTCAAACACTTTGGCAGCCATGTCTCCTTCTGCTGGACCCACTCACACCTAAGAAGGTAAAAAAAAAAAAAAAAACAAACCCAAAACAAAAAACAAGTAACACAACTTGATCCCAAAATCCTCAGAGAAAGCCCTTTTCTGCCACATGGTATTCACGTCCCAAGCTGGCTAGCTACTTCCCCATTCCTGAGAGCTTGAAAAACTGTAGTAGTCAATTCCTCTGCATTTTTCTTTTCTCACCATTTAAGAAAAGGGGTCTGAAGCACTTGGTTCAAAAACGGCCCCAAGGCATGGACTTGATACCCACAGAGAACTTAGCACCACACTAAACCACCCTCCTATTTTCTGGACAAGTAGGCCTCAAGAGAGGTTGGTGGCTGGTTCTGCGCACTTTTGTTTGGGAAAAATAACTCAAAGAATGTGCTATGTGGTGATTCCCACAGCAAAAATAACAATAGCTAACCTGTATATGAGACAGTCTCCTAATGGCAATTTATTTAATCCTCACACCAACCCCTACAAGGTAGATTATTATGGTTAGGAAACTGAAGAACAGTGAGGTTATATGAGGAGACCAAGCTCACACAGCTATTAAGTGGCAGAGCCAGGATCGGAACCTAGAGGTCTAATTCTAGAAGGTACAGCTTAATTCCTCATCATACATACAGCTTCTCAACAACAGGTATTAAGAATGGCCTGTTATTATGGAAGCCAGAGCTGGATGACATTCTGGGACCAATACAACAAAGAATAAGTGGGAAGATGGGGCTGAGGCGGGAACTCGGCTCACCTAACTGGAATCCACTCCAGCACTTAATTTATTAAGGCCCCGCCCACGGTCGTCGTCCACTTGTCTCAAATCCAACCTCTGCCTCCTAAACCCCAACTCCTGAACTACACTGATCTCTCCTCCTGCATTTAAATATTCCTTTCCCAACGCCAGGACGCTCAGCCCTTACCACTCAGCGTTTCCATTTCTAATAGCTTCTGGACTATTCCTCACCCTGCCCCCATACACACCTCCCTTATCCTACGCAAACCCTGCCTCGTCCCTGGCTCACCCCCTACCCTCGTCTCCCACGAAGCGGACCCACGCATGAACGCTGCTCGCCCAAACAGAGAATAGGGGAACAGACAAGCACTGCAGAATTGCCGAGGAGGGGACCACAGCCGTTTCTCCCCGTTCTCACCTGCTTCCACTCTGACCTCCACATGAATCCCCCAGCCACACATATCACGCATGCGCTAGACAGCTCCTCCTCTTCCCCGCCTTCCTTCCAAGATCCGCACCTTCGATTGGCTAAAAATGGCGCTGTGCATTCTGGGAAGGGTGGCTTTCAGACTTGCCCTGGTTTTTTTGGCAATTCGCAGATAAACTACAGTTCCCAAAAAGTCATGCAACGTTCTGACCCGCGCTGAAAAGCTTTTTGTCTTTGGTGGTAAACGCCAAGAGGCTGCCGCAAAGCCTTTTGGGGGCTGTAGTTTCTTGGAGGATAAACGCACGTGCCTACCAATGTTAGATCCCCCTTAAAGATGGGCTCTAGAGTCCTCGTAGAAGTGGCTGGATCTGCAGCTAGTGGCAGAGATGGATCGGGGCAAATATAGGGCTGATGAAAGCACGGGTGGGCACTTCGGAGAAAGTTGTGGTGAAATAACTGGTGGGGTGAGAGACCTTGCAGGAAATCTCGGAGTCAGGAACATTGATCACTAGAGCCATAAAAAACAGACTAGACTAGAAAACAAGGCCTAGAAAGAGGAAGGGATTTATTCAGCGTCAACCACTGACTTAGCAAAGAGACTTGGCTTACAGTCCAGGTCTCATGGACAGGATTTCTTTTTTTATAAGAATTTTATTTTATTTTTTAAAGATTTTAAAAATTTATTTATTTTTAGAGAGGGAAAGAGAGGGAGAAAGAAACATCAGTATGGTTGCATTTTGGGCGCCCCCTGCTGGGGACCGGCCTGCAGCCCAGCCATGTGCCCTAGCACTGGGAATCAAACTGGCGACCGTTTGGTTCGCAGGCCAGTGCTCAATCCACTGAACCACACTAGCTAGGGCCAGAATTTTTTTTTTTTTTTTAATATCTTATTTGGAAAAGTTGCAAGAATAGTACAAAGAATTTGTGTGTACACTTTACTCAAATCCATCAATTGCTAACAATTTGCACCATTTGCTTCATCATTTGCTCTCTCCCTCTCTACTTGCCTCCCTCCTCATTCTCCTCCTTCACTTTCCCCGCCCGCCCCCCCCCCCGTCTCTCTGTATTTTCTAAGAATGAGGACATCCTCTTATATAATCTGAGTAACTTTAAATCACCTGCTGCATTCCACTTTTGTCCATTGACCCAATAATAAACTTGATAGTACCCCCCAACACACATGAGCTACAGTCTAAGATTAGGTACTGTATTCATTTCTCAGGTCCCTTTAGTCTCCTTAGTCTCCTTTAATCTGAAAATTTTCCTTAGACTTCCTGTCTTTTATTACATTCAATAGGAGGAGGTAGGGGTTGTTCATTTTGGGTTTGTCTGATATTTCCTCATGATGAGATTCAGGTTTTGCATTCTGAGCTGGAATACTAACTAAGTGGTGTGTGGACACTTGATTTTGATGAAAACTGGTCTACTTCTGGATTCTAGTAGGGTTGGATTCTTTCAACTTCTTTTTCTTGCATTTCTCTCCTCTGCTCTCTGTCCCCCTTCTTTGTCCCTACCTGGCACAATCAAATAATCAGAGTTATCCACAGCATCAGTCTTCAGGTGATACAGGTTTGCCCTAACCAACCACATTTTTTCCTCTCACTGCTAGAATGCAAGCTCTGTGAGAGCTGAAAGTTTAATTCTATTCCCAGAACGTAGAATACTGTTTGGCACGCAGTGGGCACTCAATAAGTATTTGTTGAATGAATGAATAATGAAGGGAGTGGAAGTGGTTGGTTGGGCAGGCTGTGGCCAGGAAACACAGACAGGATGCTCCAGGATCACATAAGAATAGTCTTAGTATTGCTTGCTTTTATTCTAATCTCATTATCAGGAATGCTGAAAATATACCAATTTTTGTATAATGTTTTGCAATTGTCAGATTCATTTATCTAGAGTATCCTGCTTGAGCATCATTACAACCCATTGTCCCTATTTTACAGATAAGGAGGTTGAGGTTCAGAGGCTAAATGGCTTACCCATGATCACTCATCTGGTTAGAGCTAGACTGGGCTGGGACACGGGTCTTCTAGATTTAAGCCCTATTTTTGTTCCACTTACCTCACATTGTGCCCTGGGGAGCAATGGCAGTGGGAGAGCTCATGTGACATGAGGGCATTGTGTAGACCTGTGCTAGTTGTAGGTGGAGAGATGGGGAGGATGAAGGATAAGGACATTGAGGAGGGTATTTTGGAATAATTTAATTGTGATAAAGCAAAGATTAGGGATAGAGCAGCATTGTTGCATCAGCTTTAGGAGCGAGTCCAACTCATTGCTACATAGAGCATTTTACCCTTCAGCCCCTTTTCCCAGACAGGTGTGCAGATTAAGTGTAAGAACAAAATATATCTTGAACACTTTGGACCAGTTGCTTCATACATACACAATCTTACTTAACCTTATTTTCATATCACCATTTTTGAAATGAAAAAATGGAGATTCAGAGAAGTTGAGTAAATTGCTTACAGTCACACAGCTGATAAATGGCAGATAGGTGATACCGTAGCCTGTACTTTTCCAAATTGTGGGATTGAGTAAACTGTAAGTAGTATGCAAAGGTTGATTCTACTTCCTATCTCAATGACAACATGGCAGGGGTGGGAATTAAAGCAACCAATTATAGAAGGACATCTCTTTTTCTTCCTTTATTTAATACACATGTATTGGAGCCCTGTCCTGTCCCAGACATTATTTTAGATGACTGGGGATATGTATCAATCAGTAAGAGAGGTTTTGACTGCAAGTAACAGACTCAAATGGCTTAAGCAGTGAGGAAATTATATCAAATGATAAATCCCAGGGTAGGGAAGTTCTGGGGTTTTGGTTAATTTAGTGGCTCAACAAAGCCATTAATGGTGCAGAATCTCTGCCATCTTCAGGTGTTTTTGTCCTCATAATTGTCCCCTAAAGGTCTCAAGATGACTGCAGAAGGTCCAGACTTAATGTTCTCACACCACATTACCCAAAGGCCAGACAGCAGGAAAAGGGCATGTAACATTTTGGGTTTCTTTATATGAGTGAGGTGGGGTTTCCCAGGAATGCCTGCCAGACATTCCCCTTATGTGTTGGTGGGAAAAAATTTATCATCTGCCCATTTCTAGACTAGTCGTTGGCAAAAGAATGGCATTGCCACATTGGAACTTGACAAATCAAGAGTCAGCCTCTGGGACTGGGGAGGGGCCTGGCTTCTCCTAAACGACATGACTTCCTAAACCATAACAAACCAAAATTGGGGTTCTTGTTAGCAAGGAACAGGATGGGAAGGAGAATGGATGTTGGAACTGCAACCAAGGGTGTCTGCCACCAGGAGTCTATTTTGGACCAGTTGGTCAGTGAAGCCTCGATGAGGAGATGACTTTTAAGGTAAAATTTAAAGAAGTGAGATGTGGCAAAGTTTGGGTGGGGTGGGAGAATAGCACTCAAGCAAAGGGAATAGCACATGGAGGTCAGGCACAAGCAAGGCACAATTGATAGATGTAGCCAGTAAAGGGACAAAAGGCCCTTCATAGATTCAGACAATTTGTTACTTACATAGGCACCACAATAGAAAGAGTAGACAAAGGCGCCAGGTGCTGCTGGCCCTGGTGTGCGGCAATGTTGAGAGAGACGGGGCTAGATGATAGCAGCATAGACGTCAGCCTGCCCTGTTGCGGAGAAGCCGAGGCCCTACAGCAGCTAATGCAGTATTACAGTTTGCAACTCTGGTTCTTAATTGGGTGAGGACTTTTCCTTACAAAGCCACAGAGGCTTAGTGGGGTGGGACAGACGCTTTTCCTTAGAAAACCCAGAGGCTATGAGAAACCATTCTCATAGCAACTTTCCTGGGAGGTAGGGAAACAAAGGAGAAATGGCCTTGAACAGCTCTTTACAAGCCCGCCTTGTGTTCCTGGAGGACCACAAAGTGTTCTGCCAAGACTTAGATTCAGCTGAGCTTCCAGCTTGGCTTAAGTGGCCTATGTGGAGATGTGCAGGGTTGCCAGAGCGCCAAGGTAGAGCCATTTCCCTGCAGGGCAGAAACCTTGAGGCAGGCCAGAGCTTGGTTCATTGAAGGAACTGAATGAAGATGAATGTGGTTGAAGCACAGTGAATGAATGAGAGTTACACAAGATTGCAATAGTGAAATAAGCAAATGCCAGATGTCGTAGGCTTTGCTAAAAAGTTTTAGGTGTAGTGAGAAGTCCCTGCGAGTTTCTAAGCACAAGAGTGGATAGTTCTTCCGCAGGAAAACAACCAGCCCCTGAGAAAAACCTACAGATCCTGGGAGCTGGAAATCCCCAATGAAGAGGCCCCAGCAGGTCAACCTAGTGCAATGATTCTTAATTTTTTTTTTTATCTAAGGATGCCTTTATACTCTTAAAAGTTATTAAGTACCCCAAAGAGCTTTGAAAATGTGGGTTATATATAGTCACAATTAAAGTGACAAAATTAAAAAATGTACTTATTTAGAAATAACAATAATAACAAACTCATTATGTGTTAACATAATTTTATGAAAAATAACTACAGTTCCCCAAACAGAAATATTTAGTGAGAAGAGTGGCATGCTTTAACACTTTTGGGAGTTTTGGGGTCCTTCTTTCATTCCATTGTGCCCTTGCAGGTCACATAGCCTCTGAAAGACTGTAGTGGACACTCAAGAGAGAATGAGAGGAGGAGACAGGAAAGTAATGACTTAGTAATACCATCAAAATAATTTTGACTTCAAGTGCACCCTGAAGTGGTCTTAAGGACCCCCAGGGTGACCTGGACTGCCTGAGGAGGGCCACTGTGTTAGAATGAATCCCACCGCTGGACAAGCACTCATGTGCTCCTGCACGCAAAGCGTCCAACCGGCTTTTCAGTGCCTGTATTGCTTGGGATATAACGTAGAGCAGAGTTAAGTTCCTGTACCAAAATACAGATAAAAAAGAGGATAGAAGTTCATTTCTCTTTGTTCCAGAGGTCATTTACAGATCGCTCTCCTTTCATTTCATTGGTTTGCCATCCCTGAAAAGATTGTCTTCCTCCAGCCTTGGGCCATCTGTGTTCCAGCTTGCAGGAAGGGAAAAAGGAAAAAACCCAGGGCAGCAATTT